AATCTATCGTATGTCTACTGCTAGCAAGAAGGTAGGTAAGCAGTTACTTAACTTGTCCTTTACGCTTAACGACTTTACGATATCCTACTAGAAGCGGTACTACGATACAATTGTCTAGATCGATCTTAATATATAGATAACTAAGGATCTACTAAAAGAGAAGGGCTATCGCATTAATAGTATAGGTTTTATTATTAAAGGTTAAGAGGCTCCTATCGTTAATATCCTTAAACGTAAGGCTCTTCGCCTAGAAACAGAGGCCGATACGGCTACTAGTCTCGCGCTCGCTACGGAGATATAGGCTTAAGACCGTCGCTCGACCCGTAACTATAAGGTCCCTTAGGAAGTTAAGGACGAGCGTACTAAGGCCGAAGTAGCGCGTAAGAAGGCATTATATACTCGCTAGGCCCTCCGCAAGGCTACTAAGAAGTATAGCGCCCCTTCTAGGACTAACTATAGTACTAACTATAGTAACTCGGATATTAATATACTAGATGTACTACTAGAAGATGTCTCCTCCGAAGGCTCCTTTAGCGAGCGTAGAGATAGAGGGCTCTCGCCGATCCTATTAACTAAGAATATCTATAGTTCTTGCAAGGGCGACTCTATTACGCACCTTATTACTAAGATCGATATAGTTCCTAAAGCCGATATAGGCAAAGCTCCTACCGCCCTATCTATCTATTAACAGCTCGACGACCTTAGCAAGCTAGGAGAAGAGCTATTCTCTATATACGCTAACTATGTTAAGAAGGCCGCTAAGGTCTATAGTCTCTATACTAGTGCTAAGGCGAGTGTCCTCGTCGGTCGCCTATTAAAGATTAGTCGCGAGGTTCCTAATTAAGACGCCTTCGCTGCCCTTAAGGCTAATTAGGCCTATACTAACTAGTTTCCTAGACGCCCTATTGCCGCCCCGACATCTCTAGGACTCTACGCGTTTAACCCTACTAGTACTATTACTCGCGCCCTTACGCTAACAGATCGCTAGAGCAAGTTCGTTACCGGTATCCTTAGCTAAGGCACCTCCTTCGACCGCTTTCGCTAAACTAGTAATACTATCTTCCTTTAAGTCTTTAGTTAGTTGCAAGAGCCTCGCGGAGTATATCTTCCTTTCCTTATCGATCTAATATAGGAGGAGTTTAAAATGTACCTCTAGTATATACGTATAATGCCTAAGTCTAAGCAAGAAGGCCGTAATGCCCTTTAAACTTATAGTATAAGTAACCAAATCGTCCGCTAGTACCCTACCCTATAGCTCTTAGCTGTCGCCCTTCGACCTAATTACGTATACGAGCTTATCTCCGTCCCTAAGCCTACTAAGTTCTTTAAGGTTAGCGGTACTTACGAAAACTGTCCTTCTAAGGAGTCTACTCGTCTCGGATAAGATATAGTTAAGCTCGCAGCTAGCGAGGGTGCTAGTTACCTACGTATTAAGGTCTGCCTTATATCTAAGGATAAGACTAGCTACTCTACTATTGTCGAAGGTATATATTAGCCCGAGGTCTTTACGAACTAGGTTAAGAAGCTTAAGGCTCGTAGGCTAGTCCTACTAAGCAAGATCGGCAAGCTTACTAATAAGCACCTTACCGACGACGACCTCGACTATATGTTCGATAGTTAGCCTAATAGTAAGGGGCGTAAAGCGGAGTAGATCCTAAACCCTCTAAAGGAGTGCGAGGTCTCTATTTAGATGCTATACCTACTATATAGTAATCTAAAGACTAAGAGCAACCGTATATTAATTAACCTAGGCTACTCTCGCGTTATTAACGGTACTAAGGTTAAGGGCTACGAGAACTTAATAGTCTCTTAGGTTGCTAAAGCGCACCGCAATCTAACCGCCCTCCTAGCCTCTAACTCCTTCGTACTATTCGCTTTCCCTACGGCTATCTTAGTCGAAGGCCTCGGCTACATCTCCGACGCCCTAGTTAGTAGGATTCCTTAGTTAAGTTACGTTATTTAGAACGAAGTTAAACAGATCCTCTAGCTTAATAACGAGGGACTTAAGGAATATCTATACGATTAGGAGAATGCTACGAAGGAAAAGGCTACTAACCTCCTCGTTAATTAAGCTTTCTACGAGGGATAGTACTTCGGTGCTAATAGCTTTAATATATACGGAGGAGATTTCGAGAGCCGACTAGCAGATAAGGTTATTGCTAGTAAGGATTACGGCGCGTTAAAGCAATAGTAGGTCTATATAGTGTTGCTTAGGAAGTTGTTTTTATATAATTATAGTATCTAGGATTAATACTACCCCGGGGATATTATTACGGAGTTCTAAGAATAGCCTTAGCTAAGAGCGCTAAGGATACATATATGTTTGTTTTAAGCGCGCATAATATAAAACGTGTCTAGTTAGATACGAAGAAAGGGAGGGATATTAGCTAGTAACCGGCCCTACACCTATAGGCTAGTTTTAAGCCTATATAAGAGGCCTCCTTCTATAGAGTAGACAGATTATTAACCTCGTATAGCACATTGTTTATATTACACTTCTATAATGCCTATATTGCAGGGCTCTAGTTATTAGCCTAAGCGACAGTCTCGTTATCCTATCTTGCTAAATATAGCTGCCCGTATTGCTATAGGTTATATTACCCTCGGTAGCCTATACTATTACTATAAGTAGTAGTAGTAGTATTAGTTTCCGTCCTTTACTAGTTAGGTAAAGCGACCTACGTTAGTATTAATAAGGCTCTAGGAGTATTACGAAAGCGCCGAGTTAAGGAATACTTCTATTCTATATAAGAAGCAGTTATATAGGCCTTCTTCCGCTTCTACGATACGTAGGCTTCTAATCTAAACGACGCTTAGCAATACGAGGCCCTCCTATAGTAGGTAACTAACTACGCCTTAATAAACTAGAAGTTAATAAACGATTACATAAACGACTAGTTTAAACGTAGCGCTAAAGAGGCTAAATTAATACCTTATCGTGCTTCTAAGTAGCGAGGTATTAACGATAGGCCGTTACGGTAACTAGTCTTCTATACGGCCGTATTGCTACCTCCGCCTCTATTAGTTGCCTTAACTAACACTAACCTTCTAGATATATATAGGCCTCGTATTATTATCGAAGGCTATTCTTTACTAGTCTACGGTCTACCTAATAAGAACGGCTTTATTACTTAGGTCGAAGATAGTAAAGAAGACGTACTATACGAGGTTAAGGATAACCTATTTAATAGCCTCTTAGATACAGACCTTCTATAATTAACGCTAATTAGTCGATTGCCGCTATCTTTACTAAAGGACGCTAGCAAAAGTAATTAATACGATAACGACGAGGTATTAAGGTATTAATAGCCGTTACTATCCTCCTTACTAGACGATTTGCCCTTACTAAGTAAGCTATTTCTACCTCGTAATCTACTACCTTCTACGGTAGAGCTACCTTCTACTATAGAGCTACCTTCTACTATAGAGCAACCTACTATAGTACTATCTATAGCTCTATATTTATTACCTATATAGTTACCTAGTAAAGATACTTCAATTAATCTACTATAGCTATTAGGCAGCTCTTGTAAACCTCGTCGTTAGAAGCCTTTAATTAGTAAGCCTATAACACCTTCGAAACGCGCTTATAGAAGGTTATACGTAGGTATACTACCTAAACCGTACCGGATAGATTAATCCTCTCGTATACTATCTCCTATACTAATTAGACTACTAAAACGACGGATCTAAGGAGAGGTTGTCGCTTCTAAGCGGTAGAAGTAGTAGTGCTAAGGTATAGGCGTAGACTTAGTCGTTTTCGAGCGATTACGGCTGTTCGGAACGGTAGAAATCCGAGGTAATTAGGTTATATAAGGGGTGTTTGCAATACCCCGATTTGTATACTAATTTTGGTAGTTACAGGGCACTCTATAGGGTAGTACGGAACCTACAGGGTGTGCTGGAGCTACCTCGAATTTACTTTCTAGGTTGATCTACTCGCACTTTCAGAAGAGGGAGTTGTGCAAGGGTTATGCAGAACCATCCATTTTGTCGCCTATCATCATGGGTGGTTAACCGCTGAAGAAAATAGAAGGTGGGTCACCATCAGGCTTCTTTGGGGAGTTCGTGCCCGTCTCTGCTCGAGCCTCGAGGCGCGAAACCCTTCTACGTTGGCAATAATGAAGGTCAGCCTGGTCAGAAGGTGGATGACCAAATGCTTACGAACGGCTCCAATCGAATGCCAGTATGGATTGCAAGGTGCCAGGATTTGGGGCTTAAAAGCATCTCGGGCCCCGAGCAAGGCAGAGCCAAGGCTGTGGCTTTGCGAAAGCAAAATGCGACCCACTCCATGTATGCTGCACACTGGGCAGCAATGAGCCTTAATTCGATGGTACACTTCACAGCGAGAGTCGATATGGTTCTGACTTCATGACTCGTCTTGGACGGGATTATGAGCAACACCAAGGGGCAACATGGCATCGCAGAAGCACTTACATACACCATGCGAGAGGAAGAGCAGCAGTCACATCACTCGCGTACTGTCCTGGGAGACGAATCGTGGCTCTGACGCTCCGAAAGCTGCACCTCCACAACGCCCGCGCTGAATCACAGAAATCAGAACAGATCAGTCAGCGCGCAAGTCCTCAATTTTGCGAGACCAATCTTCATCGCTCGTCGACAAAAAAAGCAGAAGAGCCGCTGAATTGTGTTACTATTATTATTGACTTCGATTTTGCTGTTAATGAATACTGGAAAGAGTCCCATCCATCTGCTATGGCTTTACTACTGCGTCTGGTTGCCGAAATAGTCGGAATTTAGCTCCTCATGCCGCCTTTCATTCTTGAAAACCATTCACGTAGAATATAGTAACAAAGTGAAGGTGAAGCTCAGAAGTCGAACCCCATCGCACCACCTCCGTTCCTTCCCGACAACCAATCAGAGCCACGACAATCATGCCAAGACCTGCCCCGACAGCGACGACATCTCTTACTCTCCGTCACCAAGCACGAGAGCTCAAGACACAAACCCACAGAAACCTCCGCCTCACAGTCTCGAAAATGCCTGTGAAGCCAATTACTGGAGTAAGAGATACCGACATCATCGGCGATCGCGCCGCGCTGGACTGACTGACGCTTCTTCAGATGCTCCGAAGAGGATTGGTCTTGGACCTCTCCGTTGCTTTCGGTATGTCTTGATATGCTTCAATGGCTGCATTACGGTCACCTCAACATGCTAGAAGACTCACTGACATGGTTTTACAGGACTTGGAACTGCTTGCGGCTATTTCTGGTGGTACGGTACGTAGGAGAACGAACGAGCGAGAATTTCTGCCACGACCACGAACGCGATTCACTGCGAACACACGCATTGATTCTAATCTCTTGAAATCAGGCTTCCATGTTCCGTCTATCCGCCGCCGCGATTTGTTCTATGCCAAGCTTGAAGATGAGAGGGCGAATGCTTTTGGTCAGAAGTCATAAGAGAGCAGAGGAGATGAGGAACGGAGGGGAGGCAATGCGGGGATAGAGACATCCCTGGGGATAGAGAGCGCACTGGGATGGTGTACATATATCATGAATGAGCAGTGGTGGCAAAGTCGGGAGAAAAGACAAATCATGTCCCAAAGTGCCTTGAGCAGACTCGGATCATCTTCTGTGACAATATGGCGGGCGGCTGCCCATCATCCCACAAGGACACCGCACGTGCGGCAGCAGAATCGCATCTCGGCTCTCGGAAACGGTGAGCATGGAGCAGTGCCATAACGAGCGCATGAACGCATTGTGCCTGCAACCCATTCCACGCGCATGAGCTGAACAGCCACGGCCTCAAATCTTGAAATCCAAAAGAGGTTGCCGCAGCTCAAGTGTTGTAATCAACGGCCCCGACCCTCAATGCATACCTGCGCGAGCCGACCTTGATTCCTCTCTCTCTCTCTCTCTCTCTCTCTCTCTCTCTCTCTCTCTCTCTCTCTCTCTCTCTCTCTCTCTGCGAAAGACCAGCCTTAATCGACACGGTCGGAAACGCGGGTGGTAAATAGGCCTCTCGCCCTGCTGTGGCGGAGATCAAAACTTGAAGAAGCTCTGAAAATTTTAGATTTCATTGCGAAACCAGGAACAATCGCTGGATGCAGCAACATGGCCGTAACAAGAGGCCAAATGCCGAATCAACGGTGTCCGCACTCAACAGCATTCAAGTTAGCGGCTAGTGGGAGAGCTACTCGGGGCTGATTTGCCTGCTGTCGTGCGGGTAACGCTAATGTTCGATAGTAGGTACTGTGCAGAAAAAGTGTACGAGGACAGCGACGAGGCACTTCGCAACGCTACCTCCACTCTGTTTTGATATACCAAAAACGAAAATACGACAATAATGTATAAAGAGGGTGTGCTATACTCGAGGCGCTTTCAAGGCATATACATAGAAAGATTATTATAAGAGGCGGACATATTTCGCGGTAAAGCGGGACTTACTGTATAGCGCAGAAGCGTACAGAAGTTAGGCTTCAGACTGCCCTGCTTCGCGATACGGTAATAAGGATGTAATAAGCCGAGGCTGTAGACCTATTCGATAAGAAGGATCTCCGACTTCTATAGGACGTTTCGAGCGACTGGCTGGCTTGTCGTCGCCTCAGAGGGCAGCGGCGCTTCAAGATAGCTGAAAGCGACAAAACACGTTTTCCGCCGATGATTTCGTTACCTTTAAGTCTCTGTATTCCCTATAATAAAGACGCGCTTCTTCTTCGCCGTAGAATCTAGGAACTGTCTCATATAAACAATGCTGTTAAATGTGACATTTCCGATTGAAAGCGCTCGATTCCTCAATCCTTGAAGTTCGTATCCATTTCTACTCGAATATGCTTGGACGCTACAGAATTTATATTGATCTGGGTTCTGCTCAATGTACGAAAATACTATCCGTGATCCCGAATTGTCTCATAAGGGAGAACCTGGGGAAATAATGAAAGCTTTGTCTTTTGTCCTCCGACTTTCAAGCCAATTGACCACTTCGGCGTGATTCCGACAAACGTGAGCATGGCCCCATCCATCAGTTCCAGGTGCAGCATCTCTGCCTATGACCCTACCTTCAAGTGTCATGTCTGCATTACACAGGATAGCCTGGCGTAGGTAGTCGAAGCAATGATTTGTGTGAACTTCGGCATGACCATGCTCGACCTGATTCTCCTTGCCTGTTGGTCCATACCGTATCAAACGATCATATTCATTCATGATCAGATAAAGGCAGTGCAATTGATGTGCCCAAGATACTTTCCAAAGAGACTGCCCATGTGGGTCCAACCACGGCTCGCTAAGAAGCTGGTTGTGTTTATCATGGACAATATGGACGTCTCCACCGCCCTCTGAGCGAGAGTTAGTGAAGTGAATCTAAGGCGAGGACCACCCAGTAGCGAAGACTAACTTGGTAGCAAATCTTGCCATCGCTGCCGCACTATCCCAGCCTCGTCCGCAGAAGTATAGTTGAGAGTATAGAGCTCCAACTGTGGCGAGAACCTGACCGTTTCCGTCGAGACTAAACCCAAAAGGTTGCGTCAGCTTTCCCAGATCATACGTATCTCCAACAGTGGATTTGGAGAACGACCAGTCATTCCAAGACATTGCCCTACTTACACGAAGGAACACTGCAACTTGCGTCAGAACATGGCTTAGACCCCAGTCTGTAAAAATGATTGAGTAGAAGACCCGCAGTGGTTATCAGCATGAAGCTGATACTGAACCAGAGTAATCCAAGTTGTCCAGTAGTACATCTTCTCCTAGTCGTAGTAGCAGATTTTTCTGCGTGAGAAAGGAGCCCCGAGTTCTCAGAATCCCAAACCAAGGCGTGGTTTCCATCGTGTCTAGAGCTGAACCCCATGCTTCCGTAAATTGTTCTTTAGCCATTCCTTACGAGTGAGAAATGGGCTCTTTGTTATATCCGACTCCGAGTCTGTGGGTTTATTAATAATCTCACAACACATAGATCCTGGTCGTTCACTTCCGACTGTCTCCTAGTGTTGGTTATCCGGAGCTGAATTAGAGGCAACCCCTGCTCGCTTGCGCGACTCCGGGATCTCAGATTGCACCTGGTCTTTCACTTCTGAGTGTCTCTCGTGTTGTTTATTATCCGCAGCTGACTGTTAATTCGGAGGCGAACGCTGCTCGCTAGTTCTACGGATCTCAAATTGTAGGGAAAGCCCGTAAAATAGTAGAGTACCGTACAGGCAGGTCCTGCCTGAGGGTGGCCGAGCGAAGCGACAGCTGAGTGAAAGAATAGTTCAGAAGTTGAAGTGCCTGGCTGCCGGACTGCCTGCTCTCTTGTCCAATCAGGGAACCCCGGCCACGGCTTTCCAACGTCAGCTCGTAAACAAGCAACACCTTCGCATCCTCGTCCGACGACGAATACTCCGGCGTACAGTATGCCTGTTTACTTCGCTTCGCTCGGATATTTTCTCAACCCTTGACTCCTTGTGAGAGTCCTAAATAAGTATGTGTTCCGGAGCTGAAGCGGTCAACGTATATAAACACTAGACATACAGCGTCTCTTCCCGATGTACTCTACCTTCGTCTAAAAAACACGCGGTAGCTGAGTAAATACGCTTCTCAACTTCGTTAAAATGGCTTACCTCCGCTTCATGTTAGCTGCTTTCCTAGTGTCTCAAGGAATAGTAGATCCTCTCACAGTAGCTGCAGGTTGGTTACAGAACAAAATACGGTGTATAGAGCTTGTTGATTGATTTCTCATATAGCTCCACTTGGGCTCGATACTCGCAGCCCTGACAAGGACGCGAAGAACATTGACACGGACTTTGCCTATTTCGGCTTCCGCCGCGACCGAGAAGACGAAGGTGTAAAGGCTCGAGAGGCTGAAAAGGACGAGAAGAACATTGACACGGACTTTGCCTATTTCAACTTCCGCCGCGGCCAAGAAGACGAAGGTGTAAAGGCTCGAGAGGCTGACAAGGACGAGAAGAACATTGACACGGACTTTGCCTATTTCAACTTCCGCCGCGACCAAGAAGACGAAGGTGTAAAGGCTCGAGAGGCTGACAAGGACGAGAAGAACATTGACACGGACTTCGCCTACTTCAACTTCCGCCGCGACCAAGAAGACGAAGGTGTAAAGGCTCGAGAGGCTGACAAGGACGAGAAGAACATTGACACGGACTTCGCCTACTTCAACTTCCGCCGCGACCAAGGAAAGAAGGATGAAGGTCCTGCTCTAAAGGAACGCAAGCCATGGGATGCCGAGAAAGACTTCGCCAACTACGAGTTCTAATGCGTGCGGTTGAGAACTGAAGTGAGCTGTCTAGTGGCGTCACTTCATGGGTTGAAACGATGGTAATAGATGGAACGGTGAATAATACGAACCGACTTGTCGAATTATTTTGCGGCGTCTTCAATCTCAGTCTTTACTCGATCCCAATCAGCGCTCTGCTGTTCATTATGTTCCATGTTGCAAATGCCATTTTTCTACGTGTTCAGGTAATTGGTATGATGTCCAACAGGCAATCGTAGTTTCCAACGTTTCTGCCAACGCTTTTCTGCGCGCACGTACAATTTTCTAGTCTGTTTATAGCCTTTTGATAGACGTTGCAAGTCTTCAAACCTTGAAACCAAGCCTCAGCAGACACTTTGAACAACAAATCGATCGAGTGCAGCGAGCGAATCGTCCACTACTGGAAGTTTGAAGTTCTAGCCAAGCATCAATTGCTAATCACGATCAAGGTTGGTCCATGTCTATCGCGCGATATCCGAGGCTCCAGGCGAGCATGATCGGGTAATATGTGGGCCTGCACCATGCATGCGGTATTATATTCGGTCCCCGGGTAAGCGGACGGTAGGGAGCTGTACAGGGTGTGGCCATGTCCGATGAAATAATGTCCGATGAAATATCCTTATGGTGCCGGTACCAACCCAACCCAACCAGCCAACAGCGGATGAGATCAGTGCATACGAATGCATCTACGACTTTGGGTCTGGGGCCTGGGTCCATCGAAATTGTCATGATGAGAACTTGGAGGCTGAATTCATTCAAACTCGAAGATACGAATACGCAATGGATCTGGTCGGAGGGAAGGTAGTAGTTTGCGAAATGGTTTATGTAAATTACAGAGAACAATGAATTTTTTCTTAAACTGGTTTCCCGCTGCAATACCTTCACTCTGCTTCGTTATCGACGAACGGGCCAGTTGAATTCAGTGAATTGAGTGGTGGAGAATCGAATGTCGTTCACCAGGCCAACAGACTTCTGTGCCAGTTTTCGAATAGCAGTCGAAGTTCGGTCCCCCCGAAATGCAGCCAAGTGATTCGCGCGAGAAATTCAACGCGACCAGATCAAACACTTCTGGTTTTGGTTTGCTCAACCACCCCAAACAGTGTTTCGAGTGGGCAGAAGATCGTGATTTTGAATCTAGCGCATTCGATGTACCGGCTTGTAGTAGCATCCTTTTTTCCAAGATAAATGCACAGTGGCTATGGTGAAAGTCTGCAGTGACCCAAGCAGTAATCACATCTCCACGCCGAACGTCTTCATCTGCATATGGAAGCTGGCCTTTAGCATCGCGGTAAAATGTCCAGTTTCCGGCAGCGAGGTATTCGTCAGAGAGTTGCTTCCAATAACAGCGCTCGTTGACCCAATTGTACATCATGGGGTCGAATACACAGCCAGCCTCTCGAGCTTTCTGCGGAGAATTCGAACATACTCCAAGGAGCGTGGGTTTGTCCTGGATGAAAAGAAACCAGCCCAGTAGCGAGCCAAAGATGAATGTGCAGCTTGTCAAGAAAATCGTCAACAATACAGTCCACGTCTGACGGTACTTAGATAGTCGATTGAACTGCTGGTCTTGTGGATTTATTCTAACATCCTCGTAGAGATCTGTTTTATCACTCCCGTTTGTTGGATGTCCTGGAATGATTTCGTAGTAAGAACTCGCCATGCCTTCGTGATATCAATTTGAGTGAGGACGCGGAGGAGTAAGTGCCAGCTGGGGGCAGAAAGCGGGTGTCTGGCGCGTTAGTTTCCACGCAAAGTACAGACCAGCCGTACAGACTGATGAGGTGTATTCTACAGCGCTGCCGCTGACTCTTCCGAGTCTTCCCCCTGGCCCCTGGCCGAGCCGCACAGGGATTGAGGATCCGATGTTGTTTAGGCCAAATCCAGAAATTCATGCAACATTCAAAGCGCCAGCGGCCAATTTCAGGTCCGAGAATCGCGTGTAGGGATAGGGCTTGGCAAAGTCTGTAAAGTAGCACAGGAACGGAAGCCGCGGAGGTATTAGAATAGGATAGTTCTAGCGCTTTCACTCGGAAGTGCTCAGAAGCGGCTCTAGGATCAAGGCTCACACTCCAACATGGAACAAGCTACATCTCGTAGATGCTATCCTTGCAAGAAAACCAGGAAAGAGCAACTAACCACAAGTCCGTCCTAGCAGAAGATTGGGGTCGACTAGACTTATTTCCACTCCATTACGCCCTTCCTGTCAAGGTCAGGCTCTGCCCAAGACCCACCAGACTCATACTCCCAAAACAGTGACACTGTTACGCCAAACATACAAACAGGACATATCCACAGAAGCATGCTACCGCGGCACAACTCACCGGACGAAGAACAGGTCTTCTTGGACGAAGATGTAGGAGAGGAGAAGAAAACTTTACTCAACGACGGTGAGGCAATGCTCCTTGGTTCAATGGTACGAAAGCGTACCATTGGTGAACGAAGAAGAAATCTGGACCAGATGGTCAATCTACCTTGGTGGAAATTCGCCCTGGGCGTCTTAGCAATCTGGGGTTTATTCGAGTTGACGAAGGCCGCAATCCAGCACTTCAAAGCCGGACCGCCCGCAAATGCAGGCAAAGACTATGGAGATCTATCGTGGTACTGCAGGAGAGATTGCGGCAAATCCTGGGAAGAAGCAGAGCCGAAGGGCTGCGTTTTCGATGAGCTAGAATTTCGCTTCACGCACCCGGAATGCATTAATGACGACGCCCAAAAAGACTTCGCCGAGTCGGGCCCTGGGCCAGATGGGAAATGGTTATATGCTATCGACGTGGACTGGAGACATTCTGATGAGGGACACGGCAACATTTATAACGGTACGAACATGCACATCATCAACTCGGACGAATTACGAAATATGATTAAGCCCAAGCTCACCGTCTGGCATTCGAATCTGTGGCATATCTCGCATTGTCTTTGGTACTGGAGAAAAGTGTCGCTAAGTAGATTTGACGGAACATTACTCCCAATGGATCGGGCGGAGGAAGCGGAGCACTCATACCATTGCACGAGGATGATCATCAATTATTTGCGGAAGGAGCATCTGACGGATCAGTATAAGACAAGCTTTAGCTTTTAAATGTACGAAGGTCTCTCAAGATTCGAAATTTTTGGCTTCGTAGGCAATAGATAGTCGAAGTAATGGATGGCACTCAACGAAGCTCTGCATTCAAAGTCATGATAGTGATGTAGTAGTACTGTTCTCTATAGCATTTTCACTTTCTTCTACTAGTCGTGTGTATGGATTCCATCATATATCACTTTGCTGTCCTCGTCACGACAATGAGGTGCTCGTACGTGTTCTGATTTACCATGCCAAGCTGGCCTGACCTTGTCCCACTCACTATCCTCCCGCTTTTCCATCCATGAATAATCGCAGGTTGGAAACTTCAAGAAAAGATGACTGTTGTAGAGCAACGGGTCCATATCAAAGCGAGCCAACATGCGGGAGCAGTGTTGGTAGTGCTCCCAACTCGAGGTCCAATTGTCCATTGGTCTTTGAAACGCCACGGAGCGCATATATCTGTCATCTCCAGTCAGAATTCTATCTCTTTTGAATCAACTAGACATCAGTCAGGAATGTCGGGCGTACTTTTTCATAATAAGATCGCAATGTGCCATATGCTGCCACCAAGGCATCCAGGCATCATTCACATTCCCAGCACGGCATTCGGCCACAAACTCGTCATCCGTGTCGTTGGCGTTAATTGATCGTGAGTACGACCAAGTATCATGCGAGTCCCAGTCATCGCCCAATACATCGTCGTAACACTCGGCCGGTACCCATGCGAAGTTATGGAGTTCAAATCGACAGCCTAACTTACGAGCCTCATCAGGTGTGTTCCCGCAGTGATGGAGAGGCACTGGTATTTTCCTTCGGTCTACTGAGCTTTGGGAAAGTCGTGTGCGGAGTTGCATAATAAGGAGCAATCCAAGGAGTGTCAACAGTAAATTTCCGCCTAGAAGTAGGCCAGTCCTTTTGGTCGGAGACCTGGAGCTCTTTTGCAGATCATTGCTGCGCAGAGGATGGCTGCTCTGTCCTTCGCCATCGTCGTCGCTGCCCAGGATCTTGGTATAAGCGTAGTCTTTGTGTGAAAGCATCTCACTCAATGTTTAGTGCCGCTTTGGAGGAATTGCTGGATGCGGCAGTGATCTAATAGATGAGAGATTGGCTGTATCGTCGTGCTGGATGCGGTAGTGATCTAATAGATGAGAGATTGGCTGTATCGTCGTGCTTGAGAGACTATGGGTCATTCACCAGAAGCTCAAGATGCTGCACAGTACCTCCTCTACTTTAGGGTTATGTCCCCCGGGCCCTCCTACTCAGCCCACCAGGCCTTCGACCGGCAACCAGGGAGTGCATGCTGCATGCACGAAATGCTGGATCGCTGCGGCAATCCAAGAATGACGAAGCGGCTGTTCGTGGGTGCAATCCATGGACGTCCGACGTCAATGCTGGAAAGTCAGGCATCCTATGCTGGTCTCGGGGAAAGCTCAGACCGCCTTGGCACTCTATTCCCAGTCCCCCGAGACTACGTGGCTGACACAGAAAGCGGATCAACCCGCACCCCAAATCCGAATCCGCCATACTCCATTTGGAAGACCTTTTTTTATCACAACAGCCAACACAACTATGGCCTATAGCCACCTGGATACACCCAGTAAGTCAAAGATTAGAGGCATATTTGAATGGCATGACTGATGCACCTAAATAGCAAGCTTCTGAATACGTCATGTTGTATTCGAAGCACATCCGGGTTTTGGTCCTTGGATTTCTCCCAACACCTCGTATTATCCGACTCGTATAACCCTGACCTTCGCTACGCTCCGGGAGGTGTCAGAGGTCGCCGGCTTCGTGAACAAGGAGGTCCCTGTTGAGGAATTTGAGACGAGTAGAACTATTCTGGATTGTGTTTTCCCGGTTCCCGATGCGTATTTACGACACCTGCTCATCATCCGCGTGCATCCTGGTGCCGCTCTCGATGTTAACTCAGCCTCAGAACTGACAGTGCGGTCACGTCCAATTGCCATATCTTTCTCATAGGAAGAAAACCATGTTTCTCGAGGATTGTAACCCTACAGATGAAGATTTTGCACCAAGCTGCGGTAAAGAACAGGAGTCACTGCTCCACAGATCCAGAAGGCCACTTGCTAAACGCGATTTCTGGTCCACTGCAGTGCCTCTTGTGTGTATCATTTGCAACATCATTGTTCTCTGTACGTCCATCGGCATTCTCATTGCAGCCGGCAGACGTGCCGCACAATGTGGCGAAAACATTCCGAGCGTCATGCACGCAACACTAGACACCAAATGTACGTCTTCATTGTCTGAGAGCCGAGGACAGGCCACTTAACGACTTGCAGTGTCTCCTTTCGATCAACGCACATTGCCCTTGTTGACAATGATACTCAACTCTTCCGCCAAAGCCGTGATGGAGTCTCCCTACATCGGGCGCCCAAGTGCTGAGATCGACGCAGCTTGGGAAATGGCTGGAAGCCGAGATCCAATTGCAATCACCGCTGATAAGGTCATGGCCTTGGGCAAGGACCTCTCCACCGCTGCGCGATGGCCAGAATCATTCAATCTAGGCTCCGAGGCATACATTGCTGCTCCAAGTGCTATGCACCATATTCACTGCCTGGACCAGATTCGACGCAACCTCGACTTTGACCATTACTTTGGCGCGCGCTTTCCCGATGGACAGAAGAGCAAACTCCATCAGCTCCATACGGACCATTGCCTCTACATAATTCTGAAACAGCTCATGTGCCGGCCTAGCATGGGAACGTATGTTTTCGACTGGGTCGAGGGAAATCTAAGCCCATTCCCAGACTTCAACGTCGAGGAAAAGTGTGTAGACTTTGACCAGTTCATAGCCCAGCACCGGGAAGTGGCGATTCCTCGCGAAAGAATGCTTAAGCTGAGAGTCCCGGAAAGTCAAGACTACCTAAAGTCTTCGGATGAGATTAAAAGTGCTTTAGAAATCATAAGTTAGTAGCCGAAACGGCTTGTATATAGATATTCCAGCGGACGTAAGCCAATGTTTTACGGGGCTTGTATATATACTTTACTACTATTATACTTAGACGAATATAAGTATAGAGCTACTAGACGGCATGCATCAGGCTGGCATTCTCTGGATATGTTACCCTGTCATCAAGCACGAAACCCAACGAACGCTCATCTGAGGCTCGCATCTTGACCATAGAGGGAAAGGGTTGATCTCAACAGCCGCGAGGCTAAATTTCATCCGCAGTGGTCGCAGCTATGCCTACACCACAAAACAGTACATGTATGGATTCACAGCTTTCTACAGAGTTCGGCCATGGCTGATCATTCACATAATATCCGCACAACAGACGCCTCATATGCGCCATTGAACTCCCATGCTCACCGCCCGGGACAAGAAATAAACGCCAGAAAATGCTCGACTTGCTCAAGAAGAAATTAAACCCTCAATCATCAAAACCTTCAAAGACGCAGGCAAGCTACTCCTTGCTCTTCTTGGGCTTCTTCTTCTTGGGCTCTTCTTCGTTGTCGGCTTTTCGCTTCTTGCTGCTGTCTTTTTCTTTCTTGGCTTCCTTTTCTGCTTTCTTGGCCTTCTTTGCTGCCTTCTCGGCCTTCTTTGCGGCCTTTGCGGCTTTTCGTGCAGCGCGCTCTTCTGAGGTCTCGCCCTTCTTCTTTGAGTCGCCGTTGATGGTTGCGACGGTGGTCTCACCTTCTTCATCGTCTTCTTCGTCATCTTCCTCGGCGGCAGCAGTCACATCAAGCTCCTCGACCAGCTTCCGCTTCTTACTCGATGACGGCTCGCCGTTTGTAAGCCCTGGCTGGGCGTCTGCTGGGATGGCATCCGCATCTGGGTTGTATTTCCGAGCCTCCTTGATTGACCACTTGCCAGGCTGCTGCTGACCTTGAGGTCCAATAGCAACGTTGTTCGCTCTGATAGGCTTGCCTTCAAGTGCTGCCAACCTTCGCTCGACCATTGCGCGACCTGCAACACCGATCGCCGACTTCTCTTCCTCAGATGGCTCCTCCTTCTCGCCCTCACCGATCTGACCCCAATCACTCAGTGCATCGACACGCAGACCAAGCGTTGACTTCGTTGCAAGCATACGGGCAATCTTACCCTTGTTCTTGCCAGAAGCCTGCCCAATGAGAGATGCATGGTAGATAAGACCATACTTTGGTGTGTCGTGCTTAGTCTTGAGAGCGCGGAAAAGTGCCTTCTCAGCGCCAAGAATTTGTATTGTAGAGGCAGGTGATTTTGCGAGGTTCATCAAAGATCCGGCGTGTGCGATCAGTCGTGCTCCAACAAGCTCGCCGACAAGCGCGGTCAGGTTGGGTGCAATGGCCTGCATGCGTGCGGAAAGATATGACGAAAGCTGTGCTCTGTACTCGGTGAATCCCACGACTTGTTCAGCAAGTGCCTGAATGTTCTCCAAGTCCTCATCCGTGATCTCGGTACCCATAGAGATCTCAGCCGCGCCTTTGACCGATGTCTCAATCTCTTCTGGGAGAATGTCGGACATGTCCGTGCTGGATGCGTTCGATCGCATGCCCATGGCTAGGATGAGTCGCGAGTATGCAAGGTTGTCGTTGATGATCTTGGCCAACTCTGGGAAATGCCATCCGTACCATTCCTTCACTCGCATGGCGTATGTGTTCAGCTCCTTGTCTAGGTCATCAAGAAGAGCAATGGCTTGAATGATCATGGTGTCCACCTTATCCGGCGAGAACTTCAATTTGTGTCGCGACAAGCTGTGTGAGAGACCAAGCGACATGGTTCCAAGGTCCTCAGGCATGAGACCTGGGATGAGGGAGGAGAGATGTTCGCGAATGGCACGGAAGACATCGGCAGTGCTGGAATCAGAAACGGGTGTGATCTGAAGGCCTGGCAACTTGCCAATCGCATTGCCCAGCTTTGGGTCGGCGACAGCGAGTGAAACTTTCTTCTCGTCCTTGATCGAATTGAGCATGTTGGCGAGGGTTGGCGTGACCTTGAGATGATCGAATTAGCATTTTCTTGAGTGTACTTCCACATTGTCCACCTCCTACCTTTCCCTCTGTCAACGCCGCGGCTTCTTCCAACGCAGCTGCAGCACTCTCGAACTTGTGAAACTCCTTCATCTTGAGCAGCGAACATGCGCCCTCGGCGGTGGCAGCCTCTGTAGCAATATCATCGCGCTTGAGCAGCTTCTTGTCCTTGGCCTTGAAAAGTGCGTATCCCGCCGACGTCTCGCTGAGGATGAAGAGCGTCATCCTGTCGCTATATTGCCGCTATACTGCGGCGACTAAAGTATGGTCGGTATTGGAAGTGGCGGTAATGATTGGCGGCGGTGTAGAGGACTACTGCTCTGCTCTTGTGCACTTGAAGCTTGCAAGCGGATTTTTCGATTTCTTGCAAAGCTGTCGGCGCCGCAGCCGATTACCGAATCCGAAACTCTGCCAGCCCGAGCGCGATGCCCTAAAGCTTAAATAAAGTAAGCCAGCCAGCAATGGAAGATGTGAAGCAGCAACCTGTAACGATCAGAACTTGGCCGTATACTGAATCCGAATCCGACAAGGGTTACTGTTGCTCGTCATGGCGGCCGTGACCGCTTACGCCGACTATGACCACCGCCAGCGACCATCGGCGCGCCCGCGACCATCCAACTCCAACCTACGCGCCAGTGTCAACTCACCGCGAAGTCCGCATACGCCCATGCTGGGTCGCAGCATCTCCTCCCAGTATGGCAGTCCGAGTGCTTTCCGTGCAGAGCAGGAAGATGTCTTGATCTACGAGCTCGATCAACGGTACTTCTCCGCCGGCTTTGCGGGAGAGAGCAAGCCACGATGTATAATTCCCTTCACGCCGGATGCTGGTCGCAGAGTTGGAGACTTTCGTCCATACCACCCCGACTATAAGCAAAACTCTCGGCATTTCAGGCTGAGGGAGAAGTGGGCGGCGGGCTACTATCTCTACAAGAGAGACTGTCGAAAAACGGATCTGGGTTTGATGGAGGACATGCTGGAGAGAGCCTTCAGGACTGCACAAACAGACTACTTACAGGTCGATTCGAAGCCACGCAAGGTCGTTCTCATAGTGCCATCTCTGTGCCCAGCGCCATATATATCAGTCGCTCTGAAGATCATCTTTGCCCACTGGACTCAGCCGCCCTCCGTCTCTCTGCTATCGAACACGATTATGTGCTGCGTGAGCGCCGGCCTCCGCAATGCGCTCGTGATCGACGTTGGCTGGCAGGAGACTGTCGTCACCGCAATTGGAGAGTACAAGGAAGTTGCACAGAGGAGGTCTGTGCGTGCGGGACGAAATTTGACCAAAGAAATGCGCAACATCATTGAAGGCTCCGTGCCTAGCGAGGATGAGGTCAAAGTCACTTTTGAAGAGGCTGAAGACATTACACAACGTATGGCGTGGTGTCAACCCAGAATTACAGACGACTCCGAAGAACCGACACTCGTCCAGTTGCCAGTGCCTGGAGGCCAGCCAACCGAGAAGTTTTCGCTTCTCTTTGAGAAACTTGCCGAGCCGGCAGAGACAGTCTTGTTTGCATCTGGCACCAAATCGGCTGACCATGACGACCACGAATTGCCAATTCATCTGCTCGCACATCAACTCTTGCTTTCCTTGCCCGTTGACTTGAGGTCACTCTGTATAAGTCGAATAGTACTGACAGGTTCCTATGGCAATCTTCCCGGCCTGAAGAAACGTCTGCTTCAAGAGCTGCAACATCTCTCCTCGGAGCGTGGATGGGACGTGGTGTGCAACTATGGCAGTGCAAAGGAGCGCATCACTCCTGCACTCAAGGATCGGTCGCCCAACGTTGCCAATGTGCATTCGGGGCTGGAGACTGTTACCAGTCCGGACATTCAGCTCAGCCCGTACAACAAACCAATCCAGGATTCTACACCGACCATGGCTCGCGTGCACGACGACATCAAAGACCCAATCACTTTGAAGGCGGAGAAGGAACAAGCGAAGGGGCGCCATGAGGCTGTCAAAGGCATCATAAGGGGCGTCGAAAGTCTCGGAGCATGGGCAGGTGCAAGTCTCGTGGCAAGCCTCAGGGTGAAAGGCGCTCACGAGGTGGAACGTGAAGATTTCCTCAAGAATGGACTCAAAGATCAAGGAGATGGGGTCTGATGCACCTTCGTGGAGCACTTCACAATCGGAGAAAGCTTCTTCAATGCGAACACAGTAACATCTGGCTGGCTTATAGAATGATCTTCAAGCACTACTGTGCTCCTCCAAAGCCACAAATGCAGTCATCCGCTGGCCGCCGCAAAGATCGTCACCGTACCACCGCTGTATGACGGTGAACGTCGAAACACCGTAGAAGTATATCAAGCTAGAAGGTGTCCACAATCAATCGCAGTTGCGAATTGTGGCTCCGACCTTGCTCATGGGTTCGCTGATGCTAGAAAGCGGCGGGGCTATGGCTGTAAGTCAGCACTGAGGGACTGGATACGCGTCGAACCACATTGGAGCAGAACACTGGATGATTTTGCGATTGCAAAACATCCACACCGACCCTTACACGGTGGAACCATACTTTCGTCGCTTTCGTCGAGCAGGACGACATCGACAAAGATACCGGCAAGACACAGATTGAGCAGCAGCAAGTTTAAGGTTTAAGCTTATCACGACGGGCGGCTGTTGATCATCCCACAGGGTCTCGGATGCTGTATGGTGAAGTCGGCAAAAATCATTACGCCGAAAGTCTTACACTTCACCATCACTCGTCTGAACGCTCTTTTGGAATGGTCACATTTGGCACATTGGGCTGTAGCCAACTTCGCTTGAATTCCATCGCCTCTGGTCACGATCGCTACCACGTCTTGAATTGCAGACATTGAGAACTCCGAGCAGACCGCTTGGCGAGCGGTCGCACGTCAGCGACAATATGGCGTCGTATATGCATTGACCGAGGAAACAAGCAGGCCTCCGCAGTAGGGACCGCAGCCTCAAATGCTTGAAGCCGCCACCGACCTCAGACTGATCCTACAGTACGATTCCGCTAGCCCCAGCCTGATTCACTATCGACGAAAGAAGAGGCCGGTACAAGTGAAGTAGTGGTAACGGGCGTCCGGAAAATGCCCAAGCAATCCTCCAGCTGCTACCACATACATTTCTATTAACCATATGAAGCAGGTCGTGATCCTACACACGTCTTGATGTGGCGGACAACGAGAGCTCAAGACCTTGGCCTGCAGAAAGGGAATGTAAGCTTGTTGATGTCTGCCCATACCACCACCGCCAAGAATCCCTCCTCTATCCTCAGCCGGCCGTTGGCCGCTCGCTCCACAAATTCCACCCATTAGTCTTCCAGCCACCGGCTTGGCAATTTCTTGACACCTCCCCTCACAGGCAAGAATGTCGCATTGCCAAGCTGGACAGGCGAATCTGGTTATGGAGACTCGCCGCCGAAAGATGCATGTCGTGCCTGTCTATCTGCCAGCCTCGGTGTTCAGACCCATCGTTGTGCATTCTCTACCATCTCCACACGCTAGAGCGGCCAGTGCGTAGGACGATCTTCGCCCAATCGGGTTGGCAACTCTTCTCCGGCGGGCTTCGACGATAGACACACGCAACATTCTTGTGCTGCATGCAGTGCCAAGTGCACCGAGGTGGATGATCGATAACGTCCGAACGAATAGAGCACACGACTCCGATGTCACATCTGGAGATGATCCTCTGGCAGTGCTGCGGTAGGTAGACGCTCAATCTAGCAAGCCACAGGTACGACGAAGGTAGGTATATATATAGATGGGCCTCGAAATGCATTCCCCTTGTCGTACTCCACACGTTTGCACGCGTCATCTCCAATATGCGTTCCTTCTTGAACTTCCTCCTTGCTCTCCCAGCCGCGCTGGCCGCACCTGTCGTCCTCGAGAACAGACAGTCTGAAACCATAGCACGATCATGGATCGTCCGCGTCAACCAGAACGCCGTCCTCGCCGATGTCATCTCTCAAGTCTCCCAAGCCGCAGGTGTCCAAGCCAAGCACACCTACAATTTCGGCAACTTCAAGGGTTTCTCCATGGACGGTGTCGATGACCTGGCAGGTCTGGTCGCCAACATCGCATCAATCCAATCGATCGAACCAAACAGTGTCGTCCGCACCAACGCTCTCGTCACTCAAAACAACGTCCCATCATATGGTCTCGCCCGGATCTCTCATCGCCAGAACGGAGCGACCAACTATATCTACGACGATTCTGCTGGTCAAGGAACATTTTCCTACATCATCGATACCGTAAGTTCCACCACCCAAACCAACCTATTCTACTTCTCCAATCAACCTTCTCACAATATCACATCCAGGGCATCCGCCAATCCCACACCGACTTCGGCGGCCGCGCCATCCCCGGCGCCTCCTTCGTCGACACCGAACCCACCACAATCGACATGAACGGCCACGGAACGCACGTCGCCGGCACGACGGGCGGAACCTCCTACGGCGTCGCGAAAAAAACCACTTTAATCGCCATCAAAGTCCTCGACGCCTCGGGCTCGGGCTCCCTCGCAGGCGTCATCGCAGGAATCGACTTCGCCGTCAACGACATGAAAACCAAATCCCGTACGGGAAAATCCGTCGCAAATTTATCTTTGGGCTCTTCAATCCCATCCCCCATGACCAACGCCGCCGTCCGGGAAGCCGTCTCCCAAGGCCTTTTCTGTTCCGTCGCCGCAGGGAATTCCGGTCTCCCCGCTATAACAGCTTCCCCCGCGAGCGAACCTTCTGCATGCACGATCGGAGCCAGTGATCGGAATGATGCGAGAGCGAGTTATTCGAATTTCGGGTTGCTGGTGGATGTTTTTGCGCCCGGGACGAATATTACGAGTGCGTGGATTGGGTCGGATGGTGATGTGAAGACGATCAGTGGGACGAGTATGGCTACGCCGCATGTTACGGGTTTGGGGGCGTATTTGCTGGCGCTTGAGGGGAGGAGGAGTCCCGAGGCGTTGTGTGAGAGGGTGAAGGAGTTGAGTACGAAGAATGCGCTTTCGGGCGTATTGCTGAGTGGGAATCGGTTGGCGTATAATGGGAATGGGGCTTAGAGGGTAAAATTTGTAGGGATGGATTGGGGGAGGGGATGATGATGATATGAAGAAACGGAAGGCTATTTGAGTATGCGCGTATCAACGACGACTGAATGTCGTAAAGTGAAAAGATATATTTTTTTCACGAAAAAGAAAACTACTTATTGCATTCAACAATAAGCCTTGTTTAAATATTGCTTTTTGTTGTTTCTTACAAACTCTGTAGACTTTCGTGTTCACACCTTCGTCCGTACTGAATCTAAAAATTTGGTCTGGGTATCGAGAAATTACTTCCTTCCTCAATCATCTCTCTCATCTATGCTGGCTCCACAACCTCACCAACTCCTACTCACATATTCCCAAGCATCACATCCCCACAAGTGGAGGCAATCTCATCCTCCCTTTCCTCAACATTACAGCCCACACCCCATCAAAAATAATTATATCCGCAAGACTAAAGACAAGACTACCACCAAAAACAATCGAATGATAAGTCCAAGCATTATCGGCATTCAGTTTCGTCACAGACACCACGATAGCCCAAGGCAGAACCCAAAGCAAATTGCTCGCTAGAGACTGGTAAAGGTACCAGCAAGGGCGGGTGGCCAGTAAGATGGCTGCGAGCTGTGTGGAGACGGCGTAGCAAATGTAGCACCAATCGATTGTTTTCCACATGTGCTCTACGATCTTCGAGACGGTCTCGGATTCTGAAATGTAGTGGGCAAAGCGTTGTGCGCCGTAGAAGGAGAGGAAGAGGCATGCGGGGACTTCGAAAGCGAGACCGACTATGCTGGAGACGAAGGCTGGGCGAGCGATTGAGATGAGGTGCTTGGTCTGAGCTTGCGGTCGGGGAGCTTCGACGCCAACAGATTGTCGCCATGAGCCCCAAGCATGGCCGACGAATGCTAGTGTCGTCGCTTCGAGGGCCTGGACTGGGACCATGATCAGACCTGGAGGGGAAGTTAGTAAGAAGTTGGGAAGGAGTGAAGTCGTTGTATCTCACCCCATCGGATGGTGTTGAAGACGCCCCAGGCCGTGGCATAATCCGTGCCCATTGACACAATGTTACTGACTAGCCACAAGTACAGCGCGTTGCGAACCGCTGATTCCGTGAAAGTCATGAAACCTGGTCTTGCTAGAATGACGAGCGCGTGAAGTGAAGGATGGACACTTTCTTCGGAGGTAGACTGACTGTGCTTTCGAATCGTCGCCCAAACGAAGTAGATTAGTCCTGCGAACGATGCTGCGAGTCCACATGCCAGTTGAATAGCAGCCTGAGTGTTGACAGTAGGTGTGACGCTATCGACGTGATATTTGGAGATAAAGACCATGTCGAGAATGATATTGACCGCGAACTTGATCGAGCTAATAAGCAATGGCACATCCGGCTTGTCGAGTGCTCTCGTTGCTGCGGCGACTGCAGTTTCGATAGCAGAAGCTAGTGCCGAGAATGCTGCAATCCTAACGTAGGTGAGCGAGGCGCCTCGAACTTCGGCGGGTGCGAAGGCATTCGCGAAATCCTTCGCGGCTCCAGCAATGGCGATGGACATGATGAGGCCGAGTATGGTCTGGAAGAGGATCAACGTGTACGACAGGCTGTGTCTGCTAGCGAGCGAACGATTCGTTTTGTCGCCGATGATAACCCAGGCTGCTCGTGGTAGGCCTTCGTTGAGAACTTCGGAAACCACGCCGATGTAGGTGTATGCGTCTGTCGTGACGACCATGCTGGAGTCGATGTTGGCAACCCACAGTTTGCTCAGTGTGGCGTAGAGAGCTGGTAAGATGAAGGCGGCGATGTTGAAGAGCAGCGCTCCAGAATATCGAGAGCGGCTCCAGAGAGGCTTCGCCGCATTGCCCTGGTCATTCGTATTCTGAATGTGGTCATCACCAGTCAGATCTGTTGCCTTGATGGTGCTGACTTTAGCAGCCATGATAGGCTGCTCTGATGCTCTCAGCGAAGGACACGACAGATTTGGGGAAATATGCCAATGATGTTTGCTCCAGCCATCGAAACTTCTAAACTGCTTCTAGGATATAGGTCTTCAAGGTTGAAAGCCGCATGTTTGCAGAGGGGTTCCTGCAGGTCGAAGCAAGAAGCAAGGATGTAGCACGCTATTTCGCCGTACGGCATTAAAGAGGCAGAGAACGTTGCATGGAGAGCTACTGCTTGCGTGAAGTATTGTTCCATGCACGATGATCAACGTTGGTGTGGTTCACGACGCAGCTGGTCACGCTAGTGGTGCTGCTGCTAACTAGGGAGGCCTATATATACCAGAGGCTCAATACGGGGTTTCTCACACTTCTTACCGCTATTACTACCTAATTCTTTATATTTAACCTTCTGCGACTCGTACTATACTCGCTATCGACTCGTAGAATGTCTCTATATATCGATCTATCGCTATAGAAGGCTTAGATAGTATCTTTAGTCTATAGTAGTATTATATAGAAAGCAATCGTATAGTACCTTATATAGGAGACCGGTTGTTAGATATCCTTTGATATACTTAAACGAAGGCTTAAAGAGTAGAATATTAATTATAGCTACTATACTTCCTATTACTAGGTTAACGATATTAAAGTACTTAAGATCCGGGTTATATATATCTTCTACGTTCTATAGTTAACTAATAAAGAGGCGGTTCGAGTACTATAGGCGGATAGGTTTAAGATTAGCTAGCGGAGATATTAACGGATATATTAAGAGCTTAGATTAAAGAAGGTATTATTAATAGATAGATAGATAGAAGCGGAAGAGTAGATAGTAGAGGTTCTATAGGAAGAGCTCGAGAAGTCTACGGTAGAGTCCTTTAGCCGACGGTACCTATATACCTATATTAGGTCTAAATATAATATTATTAGTAAAGATCGGCTATATCGTATAGCTTCCTTACTAAATCCTAAAGGATTACGAGTCCGCTATAAGAGGGCGTATTATTATACCCGGCCCTAGTTACGTAATATTAATAGATACTTACTATAAATTCGAGTATTAGGAAATATAGATATACGTAGCGATTAATATTTACTCGCGTTATATTATCTAGATCTATATAGATATTACTAGCTAGATAGCTATTTCTATACTAGCTTAATACCTTATAACTTAAATGATCCGGAATAGTAGTATAATACTATAGATTATCTAATTAGACCGTAGGGTAGAGACGATTCTAGCCGCTAACGCTTACTATAAGACTCGCCTTACGACTCGTAGTAATCCGGAATAACCGCTAGCCTTCGAGGACTACTTTAAATACGGCACGTCGGGTACGAGTAAGATAAACTAGCGGATTAAGGCATAGTAGCGCTAGTAAGCACCTATACTAAAACTTAAATAGCTAGAGGGGCTATTTCTACGAGTTACTACGCGAGTTACTATACGATACTAAGCTACTAGCGGATCGGATTGCCTTCTTTATAATCTATATACTAATTATACGTAATAAAGTCCTCGATTTTATCTACCTCTAGAATAGCTATCGTATCCGGAAGTAGGCTAATTAACTATATATTATACTAGGTATTCCGTATATTCTATACTATAATCTAGAGCTTATTAGGCATTCTTATTAAGGTATTCCTATACCTAACGGCGTAGTTAATAATCTAGAGTAAGACCTTTAAGGATTTAGTATATATTAGATTCTATAGTACTCGCTATAGACTCGCTAATAGACTCGCTAATTTATAGATCTTATAGCCTAACTGCCCGAGGCTACGCTTTCTTAGTATTAGATAGTATTATAGATTTATAGCTTCTCGTATCTAGTAAGTAGTAGCGAGAATAGTAATAATATAGATCGCCTTTACCGCTCTACTTACTTGCTTCTTCGATAGTATTAGCGAGTAACCGGCCCTATACACCTAGGCTAAGTTTTGAGCCTATATAAGAGGCCTCCTTCTATATTGTAGATAGAGCACTAACCTCGTATAGCACATTGTTTATGTTACACTTCTATAATGCCTATGTTGTAGGGCTCTGGTTATTAGCCTAAGCAACCGTCTTGTTATCCTATTATACTAAACATAGCTACCTATATTGCTATAGGTTATATTACCCTCGGTAGCCTATACTATTGCTACTAGTAGTAGTAGTAGTGTTAGTTTCCGTCCTTTATTAGAGCCGAAGGTAGGGCTATCTCTTTATATCTAACAGGTTCGGGTATATTAAAGGTGGTCTCTAGGTACGAATAGCTATAACCGAAGCGAGGGCACGATAAGAGCCTACGATGCGGACGATACCGAAGTATCTTAAGGGGCTATTACGACAAGTAGAGAAACCTCTTAACGAGGGCATCGCTTTAACTCTAAAAAGCTGCAAACCCTTAGGACTGTTATAGCTTAGGGCCTAGTCTGCGACTATAGCTAGCTTCTAAGGACTCGGCTCCGGGTCGAAGACCTATTTAGTACCGCTTGCTCGAGATAAGCCCCGCCTAAGGAGGAGATAGACTAATTACCTATCGGCCTTGCTTAGTTTGCTAAGACTATTAATTTGATAGCAAATACGGCTTATAGGTCGGATAGCCGGGGAGTCCCCTATTAATCGGGTAGGGCGTTCCTAGATTCGTAGCCTCGCTTAGACAGTACTTAGCCTTCTACTAGAAAAAGAAGGCTACCGCCTCCCCGCCTAGCTAAAGGAGATACGAGCTAGTTTCTAGGATCTAGGTATAAATAGAGATTGTAGTCTCTCCCTCCGAGCGGCTTCTATCTAAAATCTACTAAACTTAGCTCCTAGAGGTAGTTAGGCGACCTCTAGGAGGCTAAATCCTAATACTATCCCGGGGGTAATACTAGGAGAAACAGCCTAATATACTATTCTCTCGCGTAGCAATATTATAATAAACTAAACAAACTAAAGATACTAAAAACACTTTCCTATAGTATTTTATTTCAACTATTTTATAATAATCGAATAAGCTCTAACGGAAGCGAATATTACGAATTAGTAGAATCTTCGGAATCCGAAAACGCCCCTAATCCTATTAACGAAGAAATCAGGCGGCGACTAGTTAACATAAGTAAGCCTCCTACGCCCTCTACGCTAGAGGCGCTCTACAATATTATTATAAAGATAATAGAGAAGCAAACTAAACTTCTTCGTTAAAACAAGCGTCGCCCGCTAGAACTAGGGAGCACTATAAACCCCTTATTCGAAGGGTGGAACGCTATAGTATATATTAAGCGCTTTAAGGAAGGCTTAGTTAATTACGAGCTCGATAGAGAATCCGACTAGTACAAGATTCGGTCCTTTACGAGGACTACCTCCTCTAAGCTTTACCGAACCCTTAAAACCCTAGTTAGCTACCTAGAAAAGGACGACAAGTCTAATTCTAACTAGGAGACCTTTAAGATAGCCTTTATAAGGGAATATCGGGAGCGCGATAGCCGTCGTATTAAAGGTAGTCGTACGTAGCTCGAGTCCCTCTGCTTAGTAAGGCGCACTAAGAATAACGATCTAAAGGGGTATATCCGCGAGTTTGTCGAGTTAGCGGACGGCATCGAATAGAGTAACCTCGAAAACTCTTAGAGAACGAGGCTACTCCTCTAGGGATTACCGTAGCCTATAGCTTAGCGTATCTTCCGTCGCTATAAGCTTAGCGAGTCCGATCCTAAGAGTTTTAGGAAATACAAAGAGGTCCTAGTATGTGTTAAGGCCGATATTAATAGCACCGCCGATGCGAGGAAGTTTATCTATAGCGAAGATAGGAATAACCTAGCGTAGGTTAGGAAAGACGCTATAGGAAGCAAGGGACCTAAGTTCCTTCCTAAATCGCAAAGTAGTCCTAAGACCGTAACTCCTACTATTACTAAACACTCTTAGGACGTCGCAGACTTAGCTAAATCCTTAGCCTAGCTAAACCTAAATGCGAAAGTATTACAGCGAGTTAGGGAGGTTATTAATACTACTATACTAGGCGATATACTACTAGTCTACTAGGTTTTAGACCCTAACTACCCTAAAGCCCCTTTAGTAGATGTCTACGCTATACGGAAGATCTATTCTAACTTAGATAGCAAGTGCTAGATATGTAGCGGGTTTAAATATATCTAATCGTCCTACTCTATCTAGAAAGAGCTTCTTAAAAGGAAGCTTATTATGTAAGTAAATGGCCGATTCTACTATATAGATATTAGCGACAAGATTGATTTCGAATAGGATCGGAGAGCCCCGAAGCTGCCTTAGCTAAAGACCCTTCTAGAAAAGAAGTATAGCGGCAAGATCGAGTTTAAGGATACTAGGAATAGTACCCTCGCCGCTATTGCTAAACGAGAAACTTAGAAGGTTAGGGCAAAACAGGTTAAGGAGCGGAGCAGTAATAGTACTACTAAGCCTATTAAGGTTAACTTTGTTTCTTAGGATCCGGACGTAGTTACTAATGTTTACGCGGTTACTAAGAACAGTATAGATGTCTACGCTACTACGCGGTCTTAGACCTAGTCCTAAAACAAGGGTAAGAGCCCTTAGAACCCTACTCGCCCTAGTGCGGCAGCCCCTACTAGGGTACTAAAGAACAAGGCGGCCGATAAGGCTAAGTAATAGCGAGAGTCGACCGCTAAAACTAAGACTCTCTAGATAGCTATAGACCGCGCTACCCGATCTAGCACCGTACCTAGTACCGTACCTAGTACCCTACCTATAGAAAGCCTAGTCGTCCTAGAGACTCTAGAGGTCGATATAGAGGATGTTGCTACCGATATTAGTAGTACCCTAGGCTTAGCTAACCTACCTGCCTATAAGCGGAAGTTATCCGACCTAAAGAGCTTTCGCTTTAATAGGTATATAAAAAAGTATAGTACTAGCCTAGCTAATTCCTTAGATATAAAGGCAAACGCTCTCTTCTAGGCTTTATAGTTCCTAGACCTTAAGTCTAATATATCTATAGGAGAGCTGTTAGCGTACAGTTTGCCTACTAACCTATTCTAGAGCCGAATCCCTAACGATACTACCTTTATAAAAGATCTCGCTACCCTCCGACGAAAATAGGGGCGAGAAGACTATATCGACGTCTCTTCCCTATAGTTCCTTCCTAAATTTTTAGGTGCCTAGGAGTTAGCAGAAGGCGAATCGGTAACCTACGAGAACTAAGAGACTATCGATAATACTAACGAAGAGGGAGTTAAGGAGATAGGCCGAGGGGATAGTAATTATCCCGACCCTACTCTAGTTTTAGTTTCTATTAAGGCTGTCCGATTTACTAGCTAGTAAATCAGTCGGGTAGGACCTCCTCGACCT